CTACCAAATTAGCAGTATTTTTAAGTGGAATGGAAACATAAGCAGTGAAGGGAAAAGAGCATTTATAATGTAAATCAGATTTTCAGGACTACATAAAAAGCTTTAGAAATGGGGCTGAAGCAATGGTTTAGTGGTTAGGTGCATTGGCTACTCTTCCTCTGGATGTGGTGGCTCACATCCATCCACAAGTATAGTTCAGGGAATCAGACGTCCTCTTTCGACCTTTGTGGTCACTGCACACAAGTGGTACACTTACAACCACGCAGGTAAAACACACATACACACAAACACAAATTTAAATTTAGACATGTTTACCCTTTTTGACTTAGACATATACATTCTGGGAAGTTACACTTAAATAGTTATAAAAGTTGATTAAAAACTTAGGTATGGAGATGATGCTCGCAAAACTACTTAAAAGAGCAAGAACCATGAAAAACTTTAACTGTGCAGTCAAGTGGCAGTTTCTTAGCGACATCCCCGCACTGGGTGCTTGTGATACCAATACAAACGACAGCAGCAACTGCTTACGGAGGGTTTAGCATGTATTTATTCTGTGCTAGGCACAGTTCATGCATCCTACGAAAAAGACACAAAATCTTTACATACTAATTATCTTGATTCTAACTGTGTACTGCAGCGATCTCAATGACATAACAGCTTGAAAACACACAGGAAAACATGTTAACCATGCCTGAACTTTTCCCCGTTACTTTAGAATTCTCAAGCTGCAAATTCTTTGCAGTGAATACAAACCATAATGAAATGTACACACACTCTCGAGCAATGCTGAGTGACAGTTCTGCCACTGGCTGCTTTCATTTCAGGTAAAAATCTTTACTGGACACAGATACTGTTGCCAAGGTTTTTTTTTTTAAAGTGGGAGTTGATACAGTCCCCACCCCCACTCAAAAGTACCACTCAAGGTATAACATGGCTTTTCTCCGCGTTTTAAAGTGTTTTTTCATGCAGTTAAGCAAAACGAGAGAGAGAAAAAAAATTCTAGTAAGGAGCCTGGTCTCACTTGAGCCAGAACTTGGGGTACGGATCTCGGTGAAGTCTCACCTCACCCACTTCAACCATGGACGGACAGGATGGACTAAGTGGGAAAAGTAAAATGGCAATTTAAGAGGGACAAGAGGATAATAGGAACCCGAGAACTGGTATCTGGAAGAAAAAAGTTTGATGGTGGTGGCTTTATAGGAGTTGAGGCCACAGGTAAGCACTATAAACAAACAAACAAGCAAACAAGAAGAAGACAAACTCAGGAGTGGAAGTGTGGATGTGCTTGAACTCTTTAGGAGTGGAGGGGGAGTAAGGACCTCAAAAGAGAGGAAAAGAGCAACGGGACAGTTTAGATACTTCAATTACAGAAGTAAGGAAGCAAGCAAGGTAGAAATGGCTTTCCTAGGGAGTTCGCTAAAGGAAACCGGAGCTACAGAACCCTCTATAAACGATCAGCTAATGGGCCAGTGTACTATTTCCCTGGCCTCTTTAGACACAAATACAAACGCTGATTTCTAGGGATCAGCAGCATTTCGGAGGTGCTAGAATCGGTTGGATGGGGTGTGTACATGGAGTAGATCAGTGGGAAGGACTGAAGGAAAGCCTCGGTGAGACCAAGATGCAAGCCCAGAGGAGAAGAGGGAGTATGAAGAGAGCAGTCCGCAGCCTGGAGAACAGATTCAGTCGCCGGCTGGGGTCGAGAGCGACAGAGTGGTGGGGCGGGTACTTCCGACCCCGGCCCCATTGACCGAGGTAGGTGGAGGCTGCGCTGAGGTCCCAGGTTGAAGTCGCATCACCGTGGCCGCTGTCACCCGTGATCGCGGCACGTCCCGGACGCGGGCTCCCGTACCTTCCAAGGTGACAGTATCCAGCTCTCGCTGGGAGTGCTCGGTCGCGGCTGCCTTGCCTTCTCCCTCCCCCGTTGAGCCGCTCCCTGCTGCTGCCTCCTCTTTCATCTCCACATCCTGGGGGGCCGGCGGCGGCGGTTCTTGTTCCCCTCCCGGCGGCGGCTTCGCCTTGTCGGCGCCTCGGCGCCGCGCCGAGCCCTCCTGCTTCATGGCGCCCGGGGTCGCGGCCTGGTCCGGGGACCGAGGCAGGGGCCTCGCCTAAACCCTCACACCAGAGACCAGGCACAGAGCCGGGCCTGCACACCAGCGCGGGCTCGCGTCGGGCCGCACGATGACCGAGCAGCTGCAAACTCCTTCCCGGCGCTGGGGCTTCTGGGAAATGCCAGGCCCGGCGAGCGGATGGCCGAGTCCAGGGAGGGGAGAGAAATCAACAGCCGAGGTGCACGATGGAGGCGGATCTTCCAGCAAGGGGGAGGAGTCCGCAAGAATTTGTGGGGTTTAAGAGTGATTTTATTTTCCTCTCGAGTGCGTATCTCCGGACGTCCGCGAGAGGTCCCCTTAGGCTCCAACCTGGGCTACCACAGACTCTAATACGTAAGTGGATAGGACCTATCCGAGCGCAGATCCTGATGACATAACAAGTTGCCGGGCTTTTTTTTTTTTTTTCCTTTTCCCTCTCTTCCCCGCCCGGCAAACTCTCCCAGTTTGCGCAGGTCAGGTCTCCTGTGAAATCCGTCTGGCTCGCTCTCTCAACGCACGCCGGGTGCTTCCAGCGCCGGGTAGAAAAGAGCCTGTGTGCTTGTAGCTAGGCTGTTAGATTGAACTGAGCTCAACCCCTGTGGCATCCGAACTTCCTTGTCAAATTTTTGTATAGTGCTGAAGAAAGGAAAGGAAAAAGGAAAAAAGGGGAAGGAGGAAGGAAGGAAGGAAGGAAGGAAGAAAGGAAGGAAGGAAGGAAGAGGAAGGAAGGAAGAGGGAAAAAAAGTAATATGGGTCCGCAAGGATAAAGGACCATGCTGCCAACGTGTGGAGACATGAGCTTGATCCCTAGGTTCCATGGTAGAACGAGAGAAAAGAGTCTCACAGGTTGTTCTCTGACCTCCACAAGCATGCCGTCACAGCACGCCCCATAAATAAATGAGAGAGAGAGAAAGAGAGAGAGAATGTAATGTACCTGGTCAAGCACCATGTTCCACTCCAGTAATCCCAGTAATGAAAAAAAATTGTTATTACTTGGAGGTTAGCCTGAGCTACAGAGTGAGAGCCTGCTGCCTTCTCAAACACAAAACAACCGGACTAGTAAGGTGAGTTAGCGGATAAAGGCGTTGCCACAAGAGAGGGTGAGGAAAAAGTTGACACTCTACATGTTCTGCATTGGGACCCAGTGTGATGTGGGAAGGGAAGGAGGAGGCTCTAGGGAGCAGTTTGGGGAGGCCTGTGAATGGGGAGCAGAATGATGCCCTTCGTGGGGTGACCAGATGGAAGAAGACTGGACCAGAAAGCCTTCCCATCAGCACAGAACAAAATTCCAGCATGGAAACTTGATCTCCTCTGTAAACAGAGCTGGAACTGGCTCAGCACAGGCTCGAACAAGAATTCAGAAGACACGGAATGTGTCCCGACTGTATTCTCTTTTATATTCCAAATCCCCAGGACGTCTATGTTTGTTTGTGTTGTTTGGTTTTTGAGACTCACTCTGTAGCCCTGGCTGGCTTGTAACTCATAGAGATTCACCCGCTGTCTCCAGAGCACTGGGATAAAAGGCGACTAGATCTTTCTCTGCCCCGCCACACCTGGCAGTTGCTTATATTTTAAAAATTTCATTCATGTATGTAGTTAGTTGGGGGCCACTCTTCCCATGTATGTGAGGGAGTCAGAGGACATCCCCTTCCCACTGTGTGGGGCCTGGCAGTTGAAGTCAGCGAGTGCTGCTGAGCCACCTTGCTGGTGTCCCTACTTATCGCTTGTATGATTTTTATTCTATTGTGGCAAATAATTCTCAGTACTAGGCAGCCACTGGCCAAGCAGAAGTGTGTGCTCCGGCTCTAGGGCACACACCTGGACCTGTTATCCCAAGCTGTCCTTGCACCGTCCCTCCTCAGTGCTGGGGGACAGAGAACAGAGCTTTCTAATGAGCACAGGGATAAACTTATTAAAGACCCTCATGACACCCTGGACTGCAGGTGGCGGAAATGGCAAAGGGAGAAAATAAACCAGCTTTGTCGTTCATCCTTCCCATCAAAGAAGTTACCTTGCTGGCTAGTTAAGATGTCAGCTCGCCTCTCTGTGAAGTTTACATCACGGGGAACAAATAAGTCAGCAGAGAAGACCGCAGTAGAGCCCAAGGGCTTCCAAAGATGTCAGGAGTAGGGGAGGAGGGCTAAACATGAAGCTTTTGGCAGCTGGTCATGATGAGTCTTGCTGTGGAGGAACTGGCCTGGGCAAGGAGGTTGGTAAGAAGTGGGGGATTCTGACTCCAGGGGCCTGAAGCCTTGGAGATATATTATATTCTACTCATAAAAACGCTTGAAAAGAGATTGATGTGTATAATACGTGTGGGTGTGGGTGTAGGTGTGGCTCGGGATGCTGGGAAGATGATTCAGAGGTTAAGAGCGCTGACTGCTCTTCCAGAGGACCTGGGTTTGAGCCCTGCACCCACACCGTGGTTCACAACTGTCCATACTCCGGTTCCCTCCAGGAATCCAACCTTCTCTTCTGGCATCTGAGAGCACCAGGCATGCAAGTGGTACACATATGTACATGCAGACAAAATATCCATACATGGAAGAGGGAAGAGGAGATGGAGATATTGGTGAGATGCTTTTGCTCAATGCCAAACCTGATGACTGATCCAATTCTTGGATCCTACATGATGGGAGGAGAGAACCACCTCCCAGAAGTTGTCCTCTGACCCATACAAGCATGGCACGGCACACATGCACCCCCCATAAATAAGTGCAAATACATAAGACTGGTGACAGATGTTCAAAGCCCACTTTAGGCGGAAGGCGATCGGAACCCAGAAATTTGATGAGATTAAGATGTATTGGCCAAGCCTATCTGTATTATTTCCTCCCACACCCATCCTGAATTGAGGCTGAAAACAAAACAAAAAGCAGAAAGCAAGCATCATTTAATACGGTGGTTCTCAACGCCCTCATGCTTCAATGCTTCTATACCGTTCCTCGTGTTGTGATGACCCCCAACCACAAAATTATTTTCGTTACTTCTTCATAACTGTAATTTTGCTACCGTTATGAATTGTAATGTGAATATCTGTGTTTTCTGATGGTTTTTGGTGACCCCTGTGAAGGGATGATTGACTCTCAAAGGGCCCCTTCTCCTCTTCCTCTTTTCTAATTAATTTTTTTAAAAAAAATTTTATTTTATATGTGTGACTGTTTTGCCTGCATGTATATGAACCACATACATGCAGGACCCTTGGAGTCTAGAAGAAGGCCTTAGATCCCCTGTGACTGGTGTTACAGATGGCTGTTAGTCATCAAGTGGGTACTGGGAATTGAACTCAGGTCTGCTGCAAGAACAACAAGGGCTCTTAACCCCTGAGCCAATTCTCCAGCCCTCTAAAAAAATTTTGAAACAAGGGCTCACTATGATCACCTGGTGTTTTTACTTAACTAACTTGAAAACTTGTGTTTGTTTGTTTTGGGCTTGTATCATACACGTCTAGACCTTTCCCTCTCCCAAGCCCTCAACCAGGACTAGAGGCCACGGGCTCCTCGATGAACTCATACGGTTTTGATGCTCTTCTGCATGCAGAGCAGACAGTCTGCACTGTAACCTCTAGGCTCTTGGAGCATCTTCCAGACAGCCCGAGGACACTGTGAGCAGAATCACATACATATGGATATCGTCGGTTTCTTTACCTGGCACAAATGAATGATTTCCTTTACATAAGAACCAGAAGTCAGCTTGTCCTAGGATCAACGTAATGTAATGTTTTCCATTCATTCCAGAAAGGCTAGGGGTTTTTTGTTTGTTTGTTTGTTTTTGGCACAAGTGGGAAGGATTTGACTGGGGAATTGATGTTTGCTTGTTTGTTTTTCTTAATGAAATGGCTCAAGTTTGCAAAGATTTTGAATGATTCTGTATCTTCACGATTTAAGCATCAGGAGATGGGCTTAGTGGGTGACCGAGATGGAGGACAGAAGGAGACAGATGCTAGGGTGACAGTGCATGAGGAGCATGGCATTTCAGTTGCCCTGGAGACTCTAGTGACTTGCAGTGTTACAGAGAGCACAGTAAGGTCGGGAAGACGTGAGGGAAGCGGGCAGAGAAGGTGCCTTAGGAAGCCTTGCTCAGCAGCTGAAGGAAGGAGAGCCCTGCGTAGAGGGCGCAGAGGCGTGGGAGAGTGTCCGGATCCCATGTGTACTGGGGGCCTGATCTCTGGACTTCCAGGCCGCTCAGCCCCACTAGGGCTTCTGTGAGGGTCAGTTCCTCCTCCCCAAGGGAGGAGAGCAGGTCAGGCCGCAGTGGGAAAACGCCCTCTTTGTCTTGCAGGAAGTTCTGCTCCATGGTGCTTTCAACCTGCAAGGGACCAAAGTGGCCTGAAAAGGAGGAACCGAACCCTCTGCCCCTCTCCTGACAAGGGCAGGCTGATTACCCTGAACACCTAGGGAGCGGGAAGACCCAGCTCCTAGGATAAGACTCCCAGTGGTTCCAGCTGTGCCCTCCCATCTGCGGCTTTTCCCTGGCATCTCACCAGCTTCAGCTGCACCGGGAGGAGCTTCTTCTCCAAGGATTTTACTAGAAGCTTCTGTTGGGCTTCACTTAGCACTTGAGGGAAAAGCAGAGGAAGAAAAATGTGTTGCTGGTCCAGAGGGATCTACAGACTCCAAATAGTGACGTTACAGAATTCCTACACACTCTAGTCAATGAATCCATCTGTCCATCTGTCCGTCTCTCCATCCACCCACGGCTGAACACCTGTTCTATAACACGCATCTTGGCTGGCCACTAAATGCAAAGTTGTGACCCTTGACTGAGTGAAGTGGCATGCACCTTTAATCCCAGTGTGTGGGAGGCCGGAATATGGACCTCTGTGAGTCTGAGTCCAGATCGTTCTACATAGTGAGTTCCAGGCTGGCCAGGGCTATGGTGAGACCCTATCTAAAAAGCACAGCAAACCCCAATTCTAATCTTTTGCTGCAGTTTTGGGGAGAAGACAAAGCGGTGCTTTTTATTTTTGAGACAGGATCTCATTCTGTAGCCCAGGTTGGATTAGAACTCACTCTGTAACCCAACGTGGCCTCAGACCCACAGTGGTCCTCCTGCCTCAACCTCCTGCGTGCTGGGCTTATAGGCATGAGCTACCACAGTGGTGACAACCCAGGGAGTTAAGGAAGTCATAGCTGAGGGGTTTCCTTTGGGTTTGGCATTTTTCTGTCTGTCTGTCTGTCTGTCTGTCTGTCTGTCTGTCTATGTATCATCTTATCTTTCTTCCTTTTTTCTTTCTTTTCTTAATTATTTATTGAGAACAGGGTCTCATTATGTAGCTCTGGCTATCGTGGAACTCACTCTGCAGACCAGGCTGGCCTTGACCTCAGAGATCTACCTGCCTCTGCCTCCCAAGTGCTGGGATTAAAGGTGTGCGTCACCATGTCTGACTGTTCCCCCACATTGTGTGTGCATACATGTGTGTATGTGTGCACATTCAAGCACACTCGTGTGCATGCCATGATGTGTATGTGGAGGGCACAGGACAACTTGCCGGAGTGGTGCCCTACCATGTGGGCGCCAGGAATTGAATTCAGGTGATCCAGCTTGGCAGCATGAGCTAACAGGTGGGCAGCAATATGGAAGCCATGAGCTTAGCTCTAGGCAGAAGGCTTAAATATGCAGATAAATAAATAAATAAAGGACCAGCTGAATTCCTAGGAATGAAACCAACAAAACCAATGGTGGTGATTTTTTTTTCTCCCTCCAGTACCAGGGTTTGATCTCAGAGCCCCTTAGCATTGTGTATGCCAAGCAAGCACCATAATACTGAACTACATACCCAGCTGGAATCAGTTTTAGAAAAGTGTTTAAACAAACGACTGTAGTACAGACCACCCGGCATCCTCTCATTCATGCATTTGGGAAGTCATTCACAGGGTTTATTCTTATAACAGAAAACCACGTGACTCACTGCTCACTCACCTGTTAGAGCCCCAAGGAAATAGAGGACGGCGCCCATGGCATCCTTTGACAGCAGGACGTCTTTTGGGAGTGCTTCCAGAGTCACTTCGTGTCCCTTGTCTAGAGCTCCTTCGAGCTGTGAGGAAAACTGGGTGACTAATCCCTCAGGTAAAGGTCTAACCTAGCACCTGGCACACATAGTCTCTGGACTCCGGCTGACTCTCTCCCGCTTCCTATTTCTTTTTTGTGTAGTCAGGTCCTAGAAAATGCTGGCCCTTAGGTTCCTTGTTCCCTGGGTTTGGAGCTCTGAAAGGTTCAAGCTGTTATCCAGCAGAGGGCGCCACTGGCCTGCTGCTTCACTCTGACAGAGCGTGCACGTGCCTTCCGGGAGCCCTGTACCAATGCTTTTTTCCAGGGACTAAGAGGCCGGTGATGGCCTAGTAGCCTAGGTACACTTGGCCAGCCTTGAGAAAGTATCCGCTATGGATTCCATAGCCTCTGGCCGCTCTGCACTGTCAGTTCCTCCTCCCCATCTGCAATGGCCCACCACCACCCAGACGTGCCTTCCCCCACACACTTCCTGTTTTCCTCACGGGACCTCACCGTCTGCTCAAGGTCTTGAAGCTCTTTTTTCTTTCCGAGGAGGTTGCTGAGGGAGGTGAGCAGGGAGCTCTGCCCTACTTTACTCAATTTCTCCACTTCTTGAGTCTCTCTCTGAACCTCTTCTTTTAAAGTCTCGAAGTCTTCATGCATCTCCCCTAGGGGTACAGTCAATACCGCTGGCATCTCGCTTAGGGTCACAGTCAAGGCCGCAGGCGCCCCTTCACCTGGTCCCTCCCACCCAGTACATAGTTTCTGCAGGCTCAGTCACACACACCCCCCCCCCCCGTGCCCTGCTTCCAGCTTAAATCGGACCTCTTTACCAAGGTATGTGGTTATAAAGTTATGCTAAAGCCCCGTCATGAAGGATGAAGCTAGAAGGTGGACTAGACCCCATGCAGTCAACTAATAAAACAGTTAACCACGTCTCCATTCCCACAACCCTCCCTCTCCCCCGCCTCCCCCACCGCCGCCCAGGCTTCATCAGTGCGCAGCTGGCCTGTGTTTTCAACCTGTCCAGCTAGCCGTTTAGGGGAAGCCTGTTTCCCCTTCTCTTGTGGAAAGGACACCTTTGACAACTTAGTGACAGTTGAGGTAGGACTGCTTCAGAGAGCAGTGAGGGTCTGGATCCAGGGAAAGGAGTGAGCTGCAGCCTGGTTGCCTAGAGACCTGGCATCCTAAAAGTACATCCAGTCTGTGTTGGAGAGAGTGGCTTCCTGGAAGTGGCTCTAATCCCAGGACCTGGGACTCGGCCCTTTTCTTTTTCCTTCCTCCCTGATAGTTCTCCCCCTACCTGTGTGGCAAAGTCTTGAAAGCATTCCCAAAACTCCTTACCAACATCAGATGCCTGGATAACTGAGAAAATAAGAAAGTAAACAGGCAGGTAAGAACACGATCCTTCAGAATGGCAGCCACCCCTAGGCAACGAGTCTCTGGGAACCATGGGACTGCACCACCCCTCTGAGCTCCCAGCCCTCTTCAGAATCCTCTGGCTCTGTTCTGGCCACACATTCCTGAGTGGCAGGAGTGGAGCGGAAGAGCTAATTGCAATGTGAAAAGGGCACTCCGACCAAACTGGTGTCACCCAACATCTTAGTGACTCAGCGCCTCCTGCCCTAGTTACTGGACAGCAGATGCCTGTGCAAACAGATGGCAGCTACTGAGGCCCTTGACAACAAAGGCCTGAGGCAGTCGATCTCCTGCCCGTCTTTCTACAGATCTCCCCCTTCTGAGGCTTTTCCCTAACTTCCTGTTGTAGGTCCTACCGTAGCTGTTTGCTGAGACCTGTCCCACTAACTTCCCTGTCTGTCCTAGGGAAGGGGGAGGAAGATGGGAGTTTTGAACCCGAGTCAAGAAAGTTGGGAAGCAAAAGGCACACTTACGTAAGAATTTTGCCTCTCCTGGCTTTTCTGAAAACACAAAAAGAGCACATCTGTCAGGATGAGCTCTTTGCTGCCTTTCGCTAAAGCCATTGTTAAGACTGCGTCCTCACGAAAACCCGGAGAGCCTGTTAGCACACCCATCTGTCTCAGTTGGAGCACACCCTGTCTCCAAATCTCTCTGTTTCTGATAGCGCCTCTGTTTCTTTGTCTGTTTGGGCAGAATTTATATCCCATACCTCTATCTGCCTGAGGGCCCAGGAAACAAGAGCGCATGCGCATGCTCGTGTGCTGCTCTTAGAGTGGGAAATTTTAGCGGATGACTTGGGGCAAGGGACGAGGGGAGCCTGAAGGTGGCGCACCTACCTCCTGGAGGGAAGGTCTGCATGCTGTCATTGCAGATGTGTGGAATATCTGTAAAGGACAAGAAAAGGCACCCAAGAGTTACACCGGCTGCCACACCCCTCCTCCTTTAGCCTCAAGCCCAAAGGTTCTCTGCTCAGGGCTAGATTCTCCCCCTCAAATGCCCCGTCTAATTCTCTACCCAACCCTTACTGCTGGAAGTTGTAAGCTCTTGTCTACAGTAGCATTTTCTCCCCTGAAATCCAGTACTGGTGTCAGGATCTGTCTCCTCCTTGGGTTTTTTGAGGTCAGAGGCTGTGGTGGTTTGGGTCTTTTTTTTTTTTTTTTAATAAAACTTTTATTTTTTTTAAAAAAAGATTTATTTATTATGTATATAACATTTGGCCTCCACGTATGCCTGCAGGCCAGAAGAAGGTACCAGATCTCATCACAGATGGTTGTGGACCACCATGTGGTTCCTGGGAATTGAACTCAGGACCTCTGGAAGAGCACTCAGTGCTCTTAACCTCTGAGCCATCTCTCCAGTCCCCCGCCCCCCCAACCATGGTTTTGGTCTTTGTGTCACTTCCTATGACTTCCCCGGCACACGGAGACACCTGGAACTCAGAGTTCCTTCCCCTCCCCTTCTAGAGCAGCCTTTGCTCTTTTTCTGGCCATGGGCAATAGACTCTGCTGCCTCCCCATCCCCCCCACATCATTGCACGATAGGACCAGGATGTCACTGCACTGATGGAGGCAACCCTTATCTCGAGGGGAGAACATGCTGGTCTCTGCTCACCCCACTCATCTTTGCCATTGACCATCAGCTGCCTCACTCGAAAGGCCAGGACACAGCCCTTGGGGATGGTTACAGCCTCTTTGTGGTTCACGGATCCCTAGGATTACACAATGAGAGCCTGTGAGTCCTCTGAGGTCCTACATAAGAGACATACGAGCAGGGGCAGGAGGCAGGTGTGGAGCCGGGGCTGAGAGTCCTTGGCGAGGCTCCCGCAGGACCTCCAGCTGTCAGTCTCTGCAGTCTGGACTTGAAGCCTTCCCACTCAGGTCTGGTGCTCACCCTACCGTGCTATGTCTGCTTCCGGATTCGACAGGTGGCGGGAACTGGGCAGACCTGTTCCAGCACCTGCCTATGCGCCATCCTGTCTCACCTCCCAGCTTCTTCTGCCCTGCTTCCTCTTCCTCTACACCAACTACCCCATTCTTATCTTATCCAGGAAGTCTTCCATGGCTAACTCCTCCCCTGGCTCCCAATCCCAGGCTACCCCTCATGAATACACTCACTAGATATATGTATAGATAGAAGAGATGCACTTCTTCTGAATTTTCCAAGCCTATAACATCTGGGCCTTCACTGTGTGTTTCATATATATGTAGGACTTTTTTTTTTCTTTTTGATTTTTCAAAACAGGTTTTCTCTGTAGCTTTGGAGCATGTTCTGGAGCTAGCTCTTGTAGATCAGGGGGTCCTCGAAAACAGAGATCCTCCTGCCTCTGCCTCCTGAGTGCTAGGATTATAGGCATGCACCACCACCGCTGGCAGAACTTTCTGAAAACAGGATCTACCCCCTCCACAGGGTCTCACCAGGTAGCCCAGACTGACCTTGAACCTGTGACCCCTCTGGCCTCTGCCTTCAGAGTGCTGGGATTACTGGTGCACCCCCCCCCCCCCCATACCAGGCAGGAGCTCTGCTCGTCAGCTTTGGCAGGTGGGAGGGGAGGGATGAGGACAAACTCAGTAGCCCTTGGCCTGCTCCATATTGTCTGTGGTGTATGGAACGGGACCCTGCCCTGCTTGGTACTGCTAAGCAAGGAGAGGGGTGTGTGGCCAACTTGGCTTTGAATATTTTTTTTTCCTGTCCTCTATCCTGAGTAGGCACCATTCAGGCAGAGTTAATGGAGCCTGTGTGTGTGTGTGTGTGTGTGTGTGTGTGTGTGTGCACACACGCGCGTGTGAGGCAAACCTGCAGTCCCAGCGGGGCAAAGAATGGAAGGGAGAAGCAGCCTTCTGCCTTGCCAGCTCTCTCCAGAGTGACTTCCTGCACGGTCTCCACCACCTCCATCACCACGTACAGGTTCTCCCCACGATCCCGCATCTCCTTAAGGAAGGGGTGATCCGCTGCCAGTTTCCTGAGGCAGGAAAAGCATAGGACGTCACTCAGCGCCTCCTCACCGGGGCCAGCTTTGGTGCTTTATAGTAACGTTTATTTTATTTCTGAGACAGGGTCTCACTATACAGCCTTGTCTGACCTGGCGCTCTCTCTGTAAACCAGACTGGCCTTGAACTCACAGAGATTTACTTGCCTTTGCCTCCCAAGAACTGGGACTGAAGGCATGTGTCACTGTGCCCCGCGGTGTCTACTTTTTAGTTCGTCAATCCTAGCATCTAGACAGTAAGGTGCCAGGGAAGGAACGAGAGTTCAGTCAGACCACAGTGCAAACTCAGACCTCCGGCTTCCGGGCAGGGCAGCTGCTTTGAGTCTGCGTTGCCTCACCTATAAAACACAGCTGACGCCAACTACCTCCCAAGGTGCGAGATAAACTGGGCAAACAGCCGGAGGCGCAGCACCTGGCCTGGATCGAGGCCGCCGTGGTCACTTCCTCCTCTCCTCCTACCCAGGAACAGGTTCTCCTCTTTTGGCTTCTGTTTATGTGTCTGAGATTCCTCTCTGCCTCATTTTTTTATGTTTGTGTGTATGTGTGTGTGTGCACGCACGCATGCACATGTGATGTGTGTGTACATAGATATGTGCTACAGTGTGGGGGTCAGGTGACAGTCTCAGGTGTCTATCTTTGCCTCCCTCTTTGTTTAAGGTAAGATCTTTCATTGTCTGAGTATACCAGCCTAGCTGCATCCTTCTTCCTCCAGCTCACACCCCCAGGGAGTCTCCAGTCTCCGAGCCCTATCTTTCTGTGAGAACACTGGGTTCTCAGAGGCAGGACAGTACGTGTGCCTTTTACGTGGGCCCTGGGGATTAACCTCAGCTCTGCACATGTGTGGGGCAAGCAGTGCACTTATTCCCACCTCCGTTTCCCAGATGTGGCCCGTCACCGTCATCTCTTCTCCTTCTATAGTCTCACCTCTTGCCATTCCCAATGCTTCGTCTCCTTCGCCTTGCTTGCATGTGTAAACATGTCTCTGCCCCTAAAAGATCTGCTTCCATTCCTGAACACTCCTTCAAACTACCATCCAATTTGTTTCCTTCACCTTATTGGCAAAATCTCCAAGGATATTTGTCTTTGTCTAGTCTTCACCATCCCGTCATGATTTCTTCTAATTACTAATTTCTCCTAATTTGTCTTCTGTTTCTGCCCTCAGCTGCAATCACAATGGCCCTGCATTCTCTTTACTGGGTGTCCCTCCCTAATTGTGCAGTGTGGCTGTATTATATCTTGGCTTCCAATTGCATGCTGCTTCTTCTCCTATCTTTCTGGTTTCTAAATCATATACATTCTTCTTTCTTTGTTTGTTTTTGTTTTTAGGTTTTAGTTTTTTAAGACAGGGTTTCTCTATGTATCCTTGACTGTCCTGGAACTTGCACTGTAGACCAGGCTGGCCTCGAACTCACAGAAATCCACCTGCCTCTGACTCCCGAGTACTGGGATTAAAGGTGTGTGCCACCACCGCCCGGCTCTAAATCATATACATTCTATCTGACTCCCTTTTTCCAGTTGATTTGGAACCTTAATATTTTCTGTCCTCTGAAATTTTGCTGGGTTTGTGTGTGTGTGTGTGTGTGTGTGAGTGTGCATGCGCAAGCGCGCATGCATGTGTAAGCCAGAAGAAAGCATCAGATCCCCTGGAGCTGGAGTTACTGGTGCTTGTGAGCTGCCTGATGTGAGTGCTGAGACCTGAACTCGGGTCCTCTGCAAAAGCAGCAAGTGCTCTTAGCCCCTAAGCCATCTCTCCAGTCCCCGAGCTTCTGCTTTTATGCCTCCTCTCTGAGTATTCTCCAGCCTCCTCATCTCCCCACCCGATCCCTGCCATCCTGATTGGTATCTTGCAGACTGCCACATGTTCATCTTTATCCTGACCTCTCTCTGAGCTTCCTGTCCCTTTCCCAGCTCCTCCTTGACCATTCTCAGGAGGTAGGTACTCCAGTTGTTGCCATGTTAGGAGCTGCCAGCCCTACAGGACTTCCTCGCTTCTGTCTTCCTGTTTGTCATCTTCAATGTCTTGTAATGTCACAACCTAAGTCAAGACCCAGAGTCATCTTTAACAAGACCCTCACCATCACCCTGTCCCCATCACTCTACACCCAGCTGTTGGGTTTAATCCATCCCATCATCCTTTGCAATAAGCCTTGCACCCATGCCTCCCTGCCTTCCAGCCACACTACCCAGCTCATGTCGGTAAATATAGCTTCTGTGTGATTATTCGAGTTTGGGTGGCTACATGGCATCTGCCTGACTCTGCATTCTTTCCTCCTCTGTCTCTGTTTGAATTTCCTGCCTTGCAATATTCTGTTCTGTCATAAGCCAAAGCAGATTCTTTCTTAGCCAATGGTAACAAAACATACTCACAGCACACAGAGGGAAATCCCTCATCCCATGCCCTCATTTTATACGTCTGATGGATTGCGGGACAGGGTCTCTCCTGAGACCCCGCCTTCCTCTGTCTAATGCATTTCTTCCATCTGGTCAGGTCGGTCACGGGCCACATCAGAGCCACATCAGGTTGTCCCTGGTGTCTGCTTGTTGGGCTCCTTCACTTGGTTTCTGGTGCCTACCTGCTCTGGGTCTACCCTACAGCGTTCTCTCATTCCTTTGGTGCCTCCTTTGCCTCTGCCAGGCCAGTTCTCCCATGGTCCCTCTTGGTTTTGAGACCTCTCACCTGCCTGTCTTTGTAACGCACTTCTCTCTCTGCACGCTCCCATCGCTCAAAGCCTCCACCCGAGACTACCACCTTGTGAGGGTCTGCCTTACTTCTCCAGCCAGAAGCTCCCTCCCCGCCACAAGTTGAACCAAGTGCTTCCTACGCACGGATCACTTCTTGCATTGGATAATTACTCTTCTGTTTCAAGACAGGGTTTCTCTCTGTAGCCTTGGCTGTCCTGGAACTCACTCTGTAGACCAGGCTGGCCTTAAATTCAGAGATTCGCCTGCCTCTGCCTCCCGGGCGCTGGGATTAAAGGTGATAATTATCCACCACCACAGAGTAGCTTTCACCTTCCTACACCACAGGGTTGTCTGAACATAGACACTCTAGGAACACCAGCACATAGCAGGATGCTCTACACTCAGAAATCTGAAAATGTTACCTGGGTGACTTGTCAAATGTGCAAGCCTTTCCTTCTGGCCCATCCAGACCTCACCTGCTTCTTTCAACCGCTGCTTAATCATTTAAAAGTCAGGTCCCCTGTTAAGCCAGGCGTGTGCTGTGCCTTGTGTAAACATCCCTTCCGACATGCCCCTTGTCTGCTGGGGCAGCGGTCCCTAGGTGTGTGGATGGAGCCAGTCTGAAGCTTGCTTATGGGAGAGAGTTCCGGACAGTCTATGCCAGGAACAGTGACCTCTGCCTTTTCCATTATGTTTCACAGTCTTAGGATTAAAGGAACCTTAGAAACTGTCGTCCATTCCCACTGGGCTATAGCAAAAAATAAAAAAACAAAACGAAAAAACTGAGGATCCCTGAGAAATGACTTTCCCAAGGTCACACAGCAAGTGAATATGAACATCTGAATGTCTACATCCGTGTATGTATGTGGGTGTACATGTGTGTGTGTGTGCATTCGTGCGTGCGAGAGAGTGAGAGAGAGAGAGAGAGAGAGAGTGTGAGAGAGAGAATGATACTGGAGGTGGCTGGATGATGGGGGGGCAATGTCTAGGAAGGAGCTTGGTTGTGCCCATAGTTGCAAAAGATTCCTTTTGCCCCTGCTAGACCCCACTATTGAGCTACTTTCCCATCCCCCAGGAGAATTCTCTTTAAGGATGCTCCTGTGGAGACTACATTGGCAAAGGTCAGGGTGAGGGTTTTACCCTTCCACCTGTGGTCCAGAGCATCTGTGCCCTGCCCAACCCCATCCTATCACCCTATCAGCCCCAGACCCTCTCACCTCTCCTTGTGCAAGTTCTCCAGAGCCTTGGGAGCCACGCTGAGGGTCTGGACCTCCAGTGTGCTGCTCCGTGACAGACCTGCAGTCCCTTTTACCTTCACCGTCTTTGGCACGTCCACATCTCCCTCCACTCGGGCATCCAGCATGTTCTTAAAGCTAAAGTTCCCAGAATCTGTGGGATCTGCAGGAGGGAAAAGCGAGGAGCTGGGCTGAGCTGCATCCCTATGGCGCCTCAGAACCCCTAGAGTCCAGCTCTGTTTGAGAGGCTGACCTGAGGGGGAGTTGCCGGGCTCCAGCACATCCAGGAGTGTGTAGTCGGTGCGGACATAGCGGGCTCCCCAGAATAGAGTGCTCTTCCTCTTCCTCAGCACCAGGCAGAAGGGATGGAAGCGCTTGAAGTCGATGAGGCTGTCTAGGGGCGTCAGATCCCCTCGAGGGTTCAGCTGCCTAGCCAGGGCTCGGGTGACATTCTCAAACATAGTCATTGTGTCTGTTGAGAAAGAGATGGAGGCCATCAAGACCCGAGAGGGACTTTGTAAAGAGGGGTCACCAGGCTCTACTCCTAGACCTGGGGGAGACCTTAAGAGAGGCCTGGGTTTTTGAATGTTGGGTCTCGAAGGAACCCAAGGAGTCCTTATTTGGTGATGAAGAATCCTGGGCTCCAGAATTCACACGGCTGGCGGGAGACGCCAGACCTCCCCTTTGTCAAGGGCTCCTGTCTTATTACATGTTCATTTCTTCGCAGTCACGGAACCCAGCTGGCATGTCATCGGTAGGGGAACGAGGCTTCCTCCCACACCAGGGGACAGCTGTAACCAGAACCTGGGGACACTAGGGAAAGGATGCAACCACCAGGGGGCAACAGCCTGGACAGTCAGAGCTGGGTACCGTCCTCAGTTGCCTTTCCCTTGGCCAAGGTACACTTGTTTGAACCCTGTACATCCCTCACCCCTGCCTCCTAGCGACGTGGCTGTAAGTAGGCCAGTTCCCTAGGCTTTGCCCCACTCCTTTGCCTTTGTTTTGTTGTTTTTTTTTTCCTGCCTACATTACATCCCTTTCCAATAGAGAGGATTCGTAGTCTTCCTGTACGACTCAGTTCAGGGCACCTGCTCAGCCCGTTCCCCCTTCGGGCGTGCTGGTGACTCTGCCAGGGTTCCCAAGGCACCTTGTAGATCCACTTCTGAAACACCTGCTAATTCATCTTGTTACCATCTGTTCACCTGCCTGTAATTTCCCAGAGGGCAGGAAATGGGCCTTAGTCACCTCTGCAGCATCAGCACCAGGCGCCGGGCCGGGTAGAAAGAAGGGAAGAATGAACGTGACCCTGGGAGATATGGTGGGGTGAGAGGGTCCAAGACGGACCTGAAGTTCACCGTCTTCCTTCTCTGTCTTTGAAGCCCAGGTACATCACCTGGGCAGCCAGAGACACACCCGGATTATCAGCGGACACATCAGCTAGCCTCCATTGATCTCACTATCCATCCATCCTTCCTCACTCCCTCTTTCCCTCCCTTCTTCCTTTCGTCTTTTCTCTCACAGGATAACCTTCAGGGACCAGATGAGCGGCTCTGGGAAGTACTCTCCACCAGAGAGGCACTCAGAGGGCTCTCTCTTCTCTCTCAGAAGCCTCCTTTGATACCTGATACCAACTCCCAGTGATATCCAGGGGGAATTTTATAGCCACAATAAAAGACAAGAAACCCCACACCTTTTAGTCCCAACATTTCCCCCAGACACCCAGAAGGTCCCCCTGCCTCCTCTGCTGCCACTAATCTTACCAGGGAAGGAGTGATGCTGGGTCCTGTCTGGCAGCTGGGGGTGGGGTGAGGGCCCAGAGCTCGCTCTGTCTGTAGGTTGGCAGAATGACTGTCCCTTACCAGGACAGGCCACTTTATGCCTCTGTGGAGGAGGGACAGGGACGTAGGCTTCCTCAGACCCTGCCTGCCTCAACGGCCCCACCCCTTTTTGTCCCACTTCCAGGAGAACAGCATCAACCTGTTCCATGTGCCCCGCCTCAGGCCCTGGGCCTTGGCCTCCTAAGAGATGAGGGGGTGGCTAGGGAGCTGCCAGGCAGGTGCCAGGGTAGGTGTGGATAGCCGGGGTCGAGGGAGAAAGAAGGTGGCAGCTGAAAGTTGCTTGGGGACACTTTGGGGAGCAGGAAGACAGTGGGAGTCGATCACATGTGTATATGTATACCCATGAGTGTGCTTGTATGTGTGTACGGGTGATAAGGGGTGGATCTCTTCTCTGCTGTCAACATGGTCCTTCAGGAAGCATGTGTGATTCGTGTGATTCATCTGAGGCCTGTGGACGTGATACATGATAAGAAATCCTGTATGTCCAGGGACTTGAGACGGCAGAGCAGCCGAGGCCCCGCCCTTCATCTTTCTGTGTATCAGCCTGCTGATCCCTACCTCTCTCCACCGGTGCTGACAACACAGCACAGCTTAATACCAGTGTACACACCCGTCTGAGGAGGCAGGGGTAGGGCGAGCTCGAGTGGCCTGCAGTGGCTCAGCATTCTGTTCATCTCTGCTTCTCGAGGAATACCGAAGACACACATGCTCATTCGGAGGGGGTCCCAGCAGTGCGAGATGGAAAGCTCTGGGATCCAGCAGTCACCCTGCGGGTCACTCAGGGTCTGTCCTTATCTTTAGTCTCTGCTTGACAATAATTTACAAGAGGATTCTGCAGGCACGGGTGGGGCTCTAGAATACAAGTAGCACGCAAGGCCCTATGAAGAGTCAGTTTGCTGGCGATTTCCTTTAGGGGCTGCGGGTGGCGAGGATATAATTTCACACTCTGAGAAACTTGTTAAAACTTTATCACTCAGCTGGGCGGGGTGGTGCACTCCTTTAATCCCAGCACTTGGTGGGCAGAGGCAGGTGGAGCTCTGTGAGTTCGAGGTCAGCCTGGTCTACAGAGTGAGTTCTGGGACAGGCTCCCAGGCTACAGAGAAACCCTGTCTTGAAAAGAAAACAAACAAAAATTTACAAAAAAAAAAAAACCCAAACAACTTTATTATTTCACTTCCTCAAAACCTCCTTCAACAGGGAGAATGTTTCCACATCGCTCTTCCCAACATCACAGTTACACTTTGCCCCGCCTCTCTGGTCCCCATCCCTCATCCTTTTGCCTGCCTCTCTTCAGCCTTTCTGGTATAGCAATCAGCCACTAAGACAGCTCCAACCCCTGCTTGTTGTCAGGTGCCCACCTCCCTCAGGAGAGGCACGGTTGGGGACTCGGGTAGGTAATGGTCATCACTGGTCATCTAGTTTTTGTCACATGAGCACATATGTGTAGAAACGTGGTATATGTGTTATGCACACCTGTCCCCGACCCCCCAGATTTCTGCCTCCGTCTCTGTCTCTGCGGATCACTGCACTGGTAAGGCGTCTGAACTCCGTATATAGTCCGGGGCTGTGCAGACTCCTATCCTGTCATCAGCTCCGGGAAGGAGGCCCAGCTGACCATTACCTGGGCCAGACATTGGGGAGGTTCTTCCTAGAGTCTACCCTTCTTCAGTGGCTGATGGCCGAGCTGTCTTGTCTCGTTGCTCTTTGGAAGGTCTATGAAGCAGGAGCTGAGTAAAGTCACACATGTGTTTGTGCTTCCTGAGGACCCCAAGTCCCTGCACCAGTTCCTCCCTCTGGCCTCTCTTCTCGCTTTTTTCAATTCTCTTGCCATCCTCCCTGCACGCGGCTCTCTCTACCCTGCCGTCCTCCCTGCACGCGGCTCTCTCTACCCTGACGTCCTCCCTGCACGCGGATCTCTCTTTACCCTGATGTCCTCCCTGCACGCAACTCTCTCTACCCTGTCGTCCTCCCTTCACGCGGCTCTCTCTACCCTGCCGTCCTCCCTGCACGTGGCTGTCTCTACCCTGACGTCCTCCCTGCACGCGGAGCTCTCTCTAGCCTGCCGCCCTTCTTCTTGTCCTACCTCCACCTCATTTCTGCCGTGTTGCACCATTTCCCCAGACTGACTATGGTGTCTTAAGCACTGGGCTTAGAGGGCTCAAGGAAGGAAGAAAGAGGAAATGAGAATATGTCCAGGTGTGTCCCTGGGCTGCTGCCCTTCACATGCAGGATGCCCTGGCCTCTTTACATCCCTAAACTCCTCCTTGGATTTGCTCAGTAAGAGTGCTGGCTTGTTATGTTCAGGGGATTTAGGTAAGAATTTAAGTTGCACTTGAATGAATTTGATAAATCTGTCAGAATTCTTTTTTTTTTTTTCTTGAGACAAGATTTCTCTGTAGCTTTGGAGCCTGTCCTGGAACTAGCTCTGTAGACCAGGCTGGTCTCCAGCTCACAGAGATCCACCTGCCTCTGCCTCCTGAGTGCTGGGATCTGTCAGAATTCTTTGTGCGTGTGCATGTGCGTGTGTGTGTGTGCGCGCGCGCATATTTAGAGTCTTTTAGCCCAGGGTGGCCTTGAACATACATCCTCTTGTCTCAGACTCTTGAGTATTGGGGTTATACTTGAGCTTACTACACTTAACTCTGTAAGAACTTTTATTTATTTTTGTTTTATGTGTAAGAGTGTTTACTGAACACGTGTTAGTGTGACTGGAATCTGTAACCGGATCTGAGGTTACAGGTGGTTGGGAGCTACCACGTGACCATGTGACCGTGTGAGTGCTGGGGACTAAACCAGTCAATGCTTTTTTTTTTTTTTTTTTTTTTTTTTTCCAGCGTTTCTCTGTAGCTTTGGAGCTGTCCTGGAACTAGCTCTTCTAGCTCTTGTAGACCAGGCTGGCCTTGAACTCACAGAGATCCGCTAGCCTCTACCTCCTGGGTGCTGGGACTAAAGGCGTGTGCCAACACCACCTGGCCAACTAATGCTCTTAAAAGTGGATCCATCTCTCTAGCTCCTTTATTTTTATTTTTAATTTAATTTATTATATATATGGATGTTTGGCCCACATGTATGTCTGTATACGACATGTGTGCCTGGGGCCCACGGAGGCAGGAAATGGGTATTGGGTCCCCTGTAACTGGAGTTGCAGATGATTTGTGAGCCACTACGAGAGTGCTGGGAATCAAAACTGGGTCTTCTGGGAGAGGAGCAGTGCTCTTAGCCACTGAGCCCTCTCTCCAGCCTCCTTGATTTTCATTTTGTATGTGTGTGTGATCGTGTGTGTGTGATCGTGTGTGTGTGAGCGTGTGTGTGTGAGCGTGTGTGTGTGAGCGTGTGTGGGGGAGTGTATGTGTGGGATTGTGTGTGTGGGATCGTGTGTGTGAGCGTGTGTGTGTGAGCGTGTGTGTGGGAACGTGTGTGGGTGTAGGTGCCATGGATGTCAGCATCATGGGATCCTCGGAACTGGAGTTATCACAGGTACTTAGCTGCATAAGATGAGTTCTGAGGCTCGGACTCAGGCCCTCTGCAAGAGCGTTATTCTCTCTTAACCACTGAGCCATCTCTCCAGCTCCTGTAAGAATTCCTAAGGTCAGGCCAGAGACCTGGGGGACGGAGATGGAGGATAAAAC